ATGCTTGTGTGGTGTGTGTCTGTGTATGTACAGTGTGATGTGTATATTTGTGTGTGTGTGGTGTGAGTGTATATGTGTGTAGTGTGTTTATGTGTGGTGTGGTATGCCTGTGTGGTGTGTGTGTATCTGCAGTGCAGTGTGTATGTGTGTGATATGTGTGTGTACATGCACATGTGTGTGGTATGCATTGTAATGTATGTGTGTCTGTGTGTGTGTGTATGTGTGGTGTGGTATGTCTGTGTGATGTGTATGTCTGTGCAGTGTGGTGTGTGTGTCTATTTGTGTGTGTGGTGTGAGTGTGTGTGTGTATTTGTGTGTGTGGTGTGAGTGTGTGTGTATAGTGTGTGGTATATGTTTATGTTGGGAGAGAGAGAGGAAGAAAAAGAATAGGGTATGTATCTATCTTGTACCCACATTCTAAGCTACCAAAAAGTTACCTACTAGTCAACCTAGTCAACACACAGTTGTGTTTTTTTGTTTTGTTTTGTTTTGTTTTGTCTACTTCACGATGTTTTCTTCTGCCTGCAATTCTCTTTTCTCTCTTCGGCAAGTACGGCAGGTCATGGACAGCCCCACCACACAGAATATTCAGGAGGCACAGTGATTGTAGTATGGGCTCAAAATGGAAGCCTGACCTCTGACATAGCACAAATTTTCCTATGTAAAAGTTCCTATGTACCCCAAGCAGCATAAAACACAACAATTGGACGCGCTTATATCTCACTTGGGGTCGCCTCAATCATCAAATCTCCATTTAAAAAGAAAAAAGGAACAAGGAGATTCCAGGGAGACATGCAATGCATGCACCTAGAGGTTTTCTCCTGGACACTTCCGCAGGGTGGGCGGCTTATAAACTAAAATATCACTTTGGACCAAGCCCAAGTTGTCATTCTTATCGTTATTCTAAACTTGAGCAGAATGTGCGGTCTGGTGGCACTGTGCCTTGCTGTTCTAAGGATGTTGGTGACTGTGGAGCATGGGTGCTTGCGCTGCAGCAAACGGCAGGGGATCACTTGCCCAGACAGACTGCCGCTGCTGGGGCCTGTCTTCACATCACACGGGAAGCCGGTCAGGCTTTAGTCTTAGGATTGGTTGCTTTCTGCACCCCAGAGGTTAGAGCGCTCCATTAGGACAGAGTAGAAGGAAATGTGGAAAAGGGAGAAGCAGAGAGACAAGGCAAGGGCACTCAGTGACCATCGGAGCTCACCTAGCATTTATTGACACTCTGAGCCAGCTGTCAGTCACCTACACGCGGGCTGTGGGCCGTGCCCAAGTGGAGAGGGGTGCACGGTCCACTAGCTGGCTTTAAGTTATGACACTTATTTATTTGTTTGTCCACATGCATGAGCACATGTCTGTGGGCATTGCTGTGCCATGGTGCGTGTGGTCAGAGAACAGCTCGTGGAAGTCAGCTCTCTTCTTCCACTACATTGTACGGAGGCTTCGGACTTGTGTCGTCGGGTGTGGTGGCAAGCGCTCTGACCTGCTGAGCCATCCCATCCACCCGCAAGCCCAGTTTCAAATGTTTGTTTCTACCTTACAGAGTCATTGACTTTCCCATGTCCCCCAGAAGTCACTCCTGTCCCCGCTGTGTGAAGCCAGCCATGGTAAGAATAGCTCACTTCTCTGGCCGTCCTGAGCTTTGTCCGGTTTTGTCTGACTTGCCCGTGTGTCTCTATAGTTCTCATGTAGGTGCCGTTTCTGTGTGGTGTTCCATTCAACTGAAGACCACTGTGCTTTCTTATCCTTCTATTTCAGTTTAGGCCAGGGGCGGGGGGAGGGGGTGGAGAAGGGGGTTGGCAGACTCACAAGCAAAACAGGCGGAGCCTCTGGTTTTCTAGAGACAAATATTTCCTTACCGCTTTGTGAGGAAGCCCTTCTGTTAAGGCATGTCTCCAATTACACATAACGCATTCCTTCCCTTGATCTACATATGGCACAGACACTTCCTTTCCCAGAGGATGGGAGTCAAACATGGAAGGCAGTGGTTCTCAACCTTCCTAATGCCGCGACCCTTTAAAGCAGTTCCTCATGTTGTGGTGACCCCCCTAGCCGTAAAATCATTTTTGTTGATGCTTCATAACTGCACTTTTGCTACTGTTATGAATCATAACGAAGCTATTTCTTGAAGATAGGGGTTGTGACCCACCAATGTAACACAAAAATACTTTCCTCTGTTGGGGAAACCCAGTAACTTTATCCCTTAGCCTGTGCTGCTGTTTAACTCAAGCGCTCACAGACGCCACAGAACCCTTCATAAGCATAAGAGATAAGGCCCTGACCAAGTGTCAAACACAAATTATATTTTAAGTAGCAAATGATAAACAGATGAGGAATGAGAAAATTACGGCAGCAGCCCTTCACCAACGCTGATCGTCTCAGTGTTTTAGACCAAGGCTATCTGTGATAAAGTCCTCAGGCAAGTGGACTTTTAGATGGGAGACGGGACATTCACCCGGTGCCAAACTGATAACACACAATGGTCTCTAATCACAAGAGGTCAAATAGAACCGCACAATGGGAGGTTCTGATTGCTTAGGCTCCAGAGGAAGTTAACCTCAACAAATTAGTGAGGAATGAGTTAGGAGTTCTGTCTCAAACATAATAAAACATGAAGTATACGATTCTATACAAGAAGCTTCATGTATTCATCATGTTCTGCTTGAATCTACTAAGCTTTTCAAAATTACTCTCACGGGGCTGGGAGTGTGGTCCAGTCAGCATGAGTACCGTGTGAACTGGCTGTGGCAGCGCATGCCTGAAATCTCAGCAGTAGTGAGAATGAGAGAGAAAGTTCAGAAGTTCCAGGTCCCCTTTGGTTACACAGTGAATAAGGTCAGCCGGGAATACCAAGGGCCCACATCAAAACAATAACACAAATTCTACAAGGAATAAAACAAAAGAGACTCAACCAGAAGACTATAAAATAGGACATTGCAGTGGTGGCACATGCCTTTAATCCCAGCACTCAGGTGGCAAAAGCAGGTGGATCTCTGTGAGTTTGAGGCCAGCCTGGTCTACAAGAGCTACAGGACAGGCACCAAAGCTACAGAGAAACCCTGTCTCATAAAATAAACAAAACAAGAATTAGGACATCTTGGAAGTCAGCTCTTCAATAGTGGTTGCTCTTCGATAGTCACTGGAAGCAACTGAGCAACGGAGCTGTTCTGGATTAACACATACAACACTCAGAAGGTATTCAGTAGATGCTAACTATGGTGAATGGTGTGACAGCATTTCCCTTCTGTAGTCTATTTTTTCCATTTTCTTCAATTCTCAGCTATTTTTTTTTTCATCAAACCTCACCGGTATTCTGCCTGGATGTATAGCTTACCCAGCCTGTATTTTTTATTGTCCCGTCTGAATCATGAGCTCCATTTTTTAGCAATATGCCTCAGCTTTCTTCTCATTGGCTAAAATAGATTTTTTTGATCCGACCAGTACTAAAGCAATTAAAGTCTTCTCTGGCCTTTGAACAATGCAATCATATTGTTGACTGTTAGAACAGTCAGTTGACCGGAATAAAGATTAAGGGCATGGGCTCTGGAGGGCTTCGGAAAATTACTTAATTTCACTAAGAGTCAATGTTTTCATTTGCAAAATGAAAGAAATATGAGGACCTGTTTCAGAAGGGTGTTCCAAGGATTAAATGAGATAACATGGCAAGAGCCGAGTGTCAGGTTTAGTTCACAGAATACAAGCATCAATTAGGACCATGATTGTCTCTGTCGTATATAAGCATCAGAATGAAAACTGCAATTTAAGACTTTAAAACTTTAGTTATTTCAATAAAAAGTGGTGTATTTTGCTACCTTCCTAATAAAATGTACCTATTTAGGACCAAACAGGCCAGGCATTGTTGGTATATGCCTTTAATTCCAGCATTCCAGAGGCAGAGGCAAGTGAGTCTCTGTGAGTTCAAGGCCAGACTGGGCCACAGAGTGAGTTCCCAGGGATACACAAAAAAACCCTGTCTAGGGGGGAGGGAGGAAGATAATCACCTTAGCTCACAGGGTTGTTATATTTCTAGTTCTTCTTTCCTTTATTTTTTATTTTCATTTTTTCAAGACAGGGTTTCTCTGTGTAACCATTGCTGTCCAGGAACTCTGTAGACTAGGCTGACCTTGACCCCAGAGATCCCCCTGCCTCTGCCTCCCCAGTGCTGATATTAAAGGAGTGCCTCTCCACCACCTGATTTCTCGCTTCTCTATACCATGAATTCAGTATTTAGTTTGCTGAAATTATATTATTTGAATGTTTGGGACCAATGGGGACCTAAAAGAGCTTGAGTGTAGTATCCCTGAGATTTCAGGATAAAGCTGAGGGGTATCTCATGAAAATAGAAGGCGAAGTTTCACTGAGCCTCCAGGAGAATGTGCAAAAAACAGTTGTATCATCTTGATAACTGATGGTGCTGGACCCCCACAAGGGCCACAGCCCTTCTGTGTAATGACGTGTGTTTTCCTTTAGCTAGTGAAATCAGAGTCCTATATGCAAGAGTCAAAAAAATCATAGGATATTATGAGAATATCAATCAAAATGAACAAATAGAGATGATTGTCTGAGTGGCAGCCAAAGTAATGAGAATCTTAAGTTTTATAGCAATGGTTTCCCTCCTAACCCAGATAAGCTCAAATACAGAGAAAAACGTAACAGATGAATTACTTCAATGTAATCCATTTCTTCAGAGTTATACATGCACTATTAGTAATTCTATCAAAAGCATGGATTCCATTGCATATTAACCGAGATTCTTTCTCTTTTGCTGGAGTTATAGGCTCTCCAGCAATTGGATTAATAATGCAATGTGTTGCCTCAAAGAATTGGAAGTCTAGAAGCAGGCCCAGCTTCAGAGTTGCTCAGCTCTGTGTATCTCACATCTCTTCCCCAAAGGCAATTCTCTGGCTCTGTCCATGTGTCGACATCACGAAAAAGCACCCATAATTCGCCCTGCCCACAGCATCTTTCCTCACCTCTCATGGAAATTCTCCTTCTGGAATCTCTGGATGTGGTCTTGACCTCACTAATCAGATTTATGCCTTTCCCCTCCTCCTTGAATGATCTGTAAGTAAGAAAGGATTGCTCCTGCAACCCATGCTAAGAGAGCAATGTGTGCATCAGTGAGAAGCGGGGTGCCTTTGGGGGGAAAGGAAACCATGATTGTAGTCAATGAAGATATCAGAAATCATTCTGGAAGTCTGGTGGAGCAAGGATCCTCCATATTATCTGAAAGGTTTTTTTTTCCCCCAACAATTCTTTGTTTTTAAATAATTATGAGAGGAAACAATGCAAGCTTTCCTCACCCGATTTTCTCCTTTGCTGAAATGAGAACAATAATTATAAGTGGGCGTAGTAATATTGATTCTTACACTATCTATCCCCAGCTAGGTTGGAAAATTTGAAAATGGCTCTAAAGATTTTTGGGTTGTTTGGAGTTTTAAAGATTTAGCTGACAATTTCCTCCTAGTTATGAGGGCAGAGGAATTTTTTATGGAAATGCAATCTGTATATAATAACCCAAACTTCAAAATGTTGTTATAGAGCAGCGCTGTGATGTTTGACACGTTTTTGACACTCTTTAATGAGCTTATTTATGTCTTTGAGAAATAAATTTACCAAGCTCAAGTCTGAGCGGGAGTCTCCTAAGCGCTGCATTTTATTCTCGAAGGGGTGGACTGCCACCTAAATCCAGGAAATCAGCTTTTAATCTCCTTAAAGGGAAAGGCGTCTCCAAGTCTAACCATTTCCATTTCATTGCTTTTTCTTTTTTGGCTTTTGTTTTAAGAGACCCGAACAAGCTAAGGAAGTGAAGTGAACTCAGAGGAATTAGATTGCAGTCTAAAGCTTGCCGAGATGACGCAAGAAAGCCGTCTCACCTACCAAAACCAGATTCTCTTCTCAGATGGTCAGGGTCAGTGAACCATTGGCTCATTCTTATGTATTCATTTGTTCAATGAATATTTTTGGTGGGCCCGGTAGCCTAGAGAATTAGGAAAAAAATGTGTTCTTTGTTTTTAAGGTTGTCAACAGTAAGATGATACAGAGAAGACTGGGCCTGAAGAGAGTTTTATACCGAGTTAAGTGCGGTGATGGAATTGGGTATTTTGGAACAGGCATTTTGGAATTAGCTACAAGGCATACTTAAGTCACCTGATGACTGGAGATGGGGGAAGATAGTTTCCTTGGAGATGATGATATGGGAGCTGAATATGGAAGGATGAGTAGGCATTCGCCGGGCAAGGCTTAGGAGTGAAGACGTCCAGAAGGAGGCGACATCAAGATTAAAGGACAAAGACACAGCCTCATGGATAAGCGATCATGCTGCCGGAGAAAAATCTTGAAGCAGAAAGTGGGAACAGAGAACGCTGGAGAGATGAGTGGGAGACAGAAGGCTTTGAGAGGCTTTATCCCTAATAGGTGATGATTCATCAAAACATGTTGCCTTCGGGTCAAATGGAAACAATCTCAGAGTTTCTGCAATGTCTCATGCCAGCCTTCTTTAATTGCATTTTATCCTGTTGTTGAAAACGATTCAAGGGACATGTCCAAAAGCATTTATTCTATACTATCTTGCCTTCCAAATATCACTACCAATACCAATAAATTCAATGTACATTGAATCCCCTTGTGTAACTGAATCGGGAGAGTTGTGGCTCTTTTTTTATTTAAAAAGAAAGCATAAGTTTTATGAATGAGTAAAATTTTGTCAAAGATGCTCACCAAAGTCCCAACTCCTCCTTTTTTTTTTCTTTCTTTCTGTTTTATAAGGGTAGCTGTTCCCTTCCATAGCACAGACCTTAGACTTACAAGAGCACTCTGTGGTCTGGCATCTGCTGTCTGACATGTATAAAACTCTGGATATGAAAAATGAGCTTTCTCTACCACAGTCTCTCCTCCACCTCCTCCACTCCTTCTGCTTTTACCTGGAAGAGTTTCCTATTAAGATGCAAATCCTTGGCGTGGGAATCATTTTGCTATTATCTGTAATGATAGTGTGAACCAACTGACTATTAAACAGCCAGAGGAAAGAGAAGTCTTCCTGTAGTCAAAGGTTGAGTGTCCATGGGTAGAAAGGAACCTGGACATCTGAGAGGAAAGGCTCCATATCTCAGTTCTTCCTCTTTAGCAGAGAGAGCCGGTTTTAGCCTGATGGATTAATCTTTTCTATAGCAGCAATCAAAGGTCAGGAACACTACATAATATTTCTCAATAAAGTAATAGACAGGTCCACTGTGAGCTCCAGGACCGCCAGGGAAGAAAACATGAGAAAATCTTTAGTCACTGAATAACAGCGCATTTTCTCAACCCAACTGCAGAAACATTGTCTTAGATAATCATGGGATGCTTCTCTCGCTGATGTGCAGGGATCCTGAATAGAGAAACATTCTGAGGCTCTCTGGACGGGGACACTACCTTGAAACTGGAGCACCCACAGTCATTCTCCTTGTGTGGGGTAAATTTCTACTCCATAACTCTGCTCATTTGGCCGGAATGAACAGATAAGAAACACCATGTAACCTACAAACAGTAGAACATATTTCTTTCAGGATTCCTTATGGTGGTGGCGGCGGCGGTGGTGGTGGTGGTGACGGCGGGGGGTTAGAGAGGCTGCTGAACTTGGAGAGGATGCTGTATGACAGTCCAAACAGAGACTAGGGAGAGCTGTTCACAAAGTAGACAGGGAGAAAGTGTGCAGAAGTATCAGCCTGAGGTTTCCATCTGGAAAGACCTTCCTGTGGGTTGCATACCTGAGCCATTCCAGAGACCACGTCTATGACTGCTATGCTTCCTCATGGACCTACAAAGCCAGTTTCTGGACATACAGCACATGTGATTACACATGTTCTCAGGGACCTTCACTTGGTTCAATGCTTTGCCCTTTCTGTGTAAAATTCTTGTGTTCTTTTTTTTCTTTGCCAGTGAAGCCCAAATGGGACCATGGCGCATGAGTATAGGATGCAACACAGCGTGCTGCCCTTTCCGTGCCACCCCAATTATGCATCATCTTCAAGATACCCCAATAGCACAAGATTTCCCAGACCTAAGATATGTGGAAATTCAGAAACTCAAAGCAAGCCTTTGATATATGATAGTTGCTTCTTCCAGGTGGAGTTTCCTTATTATGGTCCCAAAGTCAAGCAGCTGCCATGACCCACTTAAGACCCTCAGGGAATCAGGCTTCTTTACATCTTCTTGTGGAGGGATGGAGGAGGCTCAGGATATGCATGAGCATCAGTAGAAACCAATGGCCTTCAGAAGAACATCTCTACGGATCTCCCATCTCCAGACATTTGTCTTAGGGTTTCTATTGCTGGGGAGAGACACCATGACCACAGCAACTCTAAAAAAGGAAAATATTTAACTGAGGCAATTTTTTTTGTAGTTTCCAAGGTTTAGTTCATTATCATCGTGATGGGGAGCATGGTGGCTTTCAGGTGCACATATTCCTGGAGAAGGAGCTGCTACATGTTGACATGCAGGCAACAGGAAGTAGACTGTCTCAATGGGCATGGCTTGAGCATATATAAGCCCTCAAACCCGTCTCCACGGTGACACACTTCCTCCAACAATAACACAACTACTCCAACAAGGCTACACCTTCTAATAGTGATACTCCTTTGGGAGCCATTTTCTTTCAAACCACCACACTGGGCATTTCCCATCTTTAGTCATTACAGTCAAGTAGTCACAACTGTGTAAGGGGTGAATGTGAGACTTCTCCACAGCAGCTGCCTATGAACCATCAATACTCCTGCAACTGACCCCACAAACTGATTGCTTCACCAAGATATACTTGAACAGAATCTTTTTGTTTGTTTGTTTGTCTCTTGTTTTTCCTCTATTTAGGGTGAATAAGCATGTCTGTATGTTGTCTCCAGAATAGTCCCTCAGCAGCAAGTTTGTTACACTCGTGTCTTAGTTAGCCCAGGCTCTGGTGGTTCCAGGAAGCTCAGCTTCCTGTTTGAGAACACACATTGAGTATAGAGACAAGGCGACGAGGAGAATATTGTATGGAAAACCCACTCATTGGTATTAGGATGTTGTTATTGAACTATTGGAAGAAAGACAATACGTTTATTTTCTTGAAGGCCTCCATAAGTAAGCTCCATGATTTTCTTAAGCTAGTAAACAAGAAGAGTTCAAAGTGAAGATGAAATCAAATCTGTTCTTAACACATTTGATTAACTATCACATACCACTTATATTTATGTCCAAACAGGCTTGTCTACAACAAAATTCTTACTTATAGCATCTTGCCTTGAAATCTAAAAAAATCATAGATTATAATTTGCTCCAAATTCAAGTGACAGAAAGAGGCCCCGATCTAATTAAACTGTGATTTTGTTATATGCTCTTTCCACTCTGATTTATAAGCCTAGAAGGAAGTAAGTAGGGGTTAGTATGTCTTCCACAGCTAATGACTCTGGACCCTTCTATTTTATGACTCAGCTATGGTTAGCCTCTGGCCCCAAACTACCGATGATATAGAGATCTAGGTTGTAAACATGAAGTGAGGAGGGAAGGGAAGAGAAAAGAAAGAAGGGAGGAAAGGAGGGAGGGAGAGAAAGGGAGAGGGAGGGAATGAGGGAAGGAAAAAAGGAGGGAGGGAAAATGGACACAAAAGCATGCCTCCTTAAGAAACTTTCAGAAATCGGTACAGATACCACTATTGATCTATTAGCAAAACTCTAAGCCTCTTGCTATATTACATAAAGGAGAGACTAATAACTATAATTCTATAATCTCAACCAAAAGCACAGTTATCAAGGAAAATCAGAAAAATGGAATCTGTGCATATCATAATTTTAAGTCACTCATGACAATTCTGCAAGGTTTATCTTTTCAGTTAACGATACTAGTATGTGGCCCTTATACATAGTAGGTAACCAATGGGTGTTGTTCAATGGATTTGTAAATTGTCAGACTTACATTTATATGATTTTCTAATTTTGTCTAATACATACTTTTATGTGGTAACTCAGGAGCTAATAAAAACACAAGTTAATTGTAATGTAGAATGCCTTTTTTAAAGATAAGCATACATCTGATACATACATCAATCTTAGAAACAAGACTTATTTTTCTAGTGTTGGATGGTATGATGGAAAGTGACAAGAGCATCTGAGTGTACATTGCCAGGCTCCGGGCACTTCTTAGAAGGCTGGTGTGGGGATTATATTCACAATGACTTACATTCTGAGTGGGGCTGGGCTTGGGAGTCTGGGTTATCAGTCAGTGGCCAGGTGAACGGCAATGAGAGATGCTGACGAAGGCCACAAAGTTTGGTCTGTCTCTCCACGAAGGCTGTTTCCCAGAGAGCCCAGTCTGGGCCACAAAGTTTGGTCTGTCTCTCCACGAAGGCTGTTTCCCAGAGAGCCCAGTCTGGGATCAAATCTCTAAATGGACACGTGCAAACCCACTCTCTCACTGTTCTTCCTGGATCCTCAGGCAGTCACTGCAAATCCCAGGCCCTCGCATTTGTCCCTTTCCCTCGTCACTTAGACTTCCTGTCTCCACTTCATCTCTGCCTTTTCCCTCACTACAGCGTCTGACCTTCTCTCCTGCACAGAAAGAGCTGCCTGGGGATAAATTTTTACCCAGCCGGGGGAGTACAAGGTTGGTAAGACAGGGCAGAAGGGAATGTAAGCCATCTGCCATTACATTTATACATGTCCCCAGTTGGCAGGTAAAATATCAATTTCTCTACATGATATTTTAAGTATAGTTCATAAGGGTAGGCATTAATCTCGTAACTGTAAAACTATTTTTAGGTAAGCTTCTTTTGATAGCGACTTATCGTATACTCCAGTGTTTTCAAGAGTGTTCTATGTGTCTTATACACACAAAGTAATAAGAAGGGGCACCTCTGCCGAGTCCCAGCTTGAAAAGTTTCTACTTATTTTTTGTTCTGACTCTGCATTATTGCAAGCCACTCTGAACTTCTATTAGCGGTAACGATGTAAAGTAAAAGCATGAGTTAAATTAAGGAAAGATGTTAAATAATTGAGTCATTTGGGCAAAATTAGAATCACATTCTAAAAGTTTATAGCTGGATAACCTTGGAATGTAGTACTGATGTGTCCAATCCTATTGCTTTGTTTGTAAAATATGAACTCAGAGGGCTTTGCATTCACATATGAACAATAAGTATCCAATACACAATGACTACATAATAGGTACTCAATATTAATTGCTATAATTCTTATTCATTTCTATAGGATTTCCATGAGCATTTTCATAGTGTTTAGTGTAATTATCTATCTAGTTACTTAGAGAATTTTATATGGTCTTTTACATAGAAAAATTGGAATCTTCAGGACAACCTCAAAAAGTTGCCCATCAATATGGACTTTGTTGATACATTATGATTTATCCATTAAGTAGAATGCCATAGAATCATTTAAAATAATCAGAATTGGCTAGGAGGAATGTATGACAAGAGACAGGTGGTAAAGGGATTGGAAAAGTATCAGAGCGGCATGCATGATAGAAAAGGTAGCAGAGGAAGCAGAGGTTGAAAACATCTTTGGACTATGAAGGCAGA